TGCGGGGCAGGACGGCCCCCGCTCCCGGCCCCACTGCCCCCGCTCTCGAGGGAGCTGGAGGAATCCCGGGGCTCTCTTCTCCTTCCCCACAAACAGGCGCTGCAGCCCTCCCTCCCCTCTCTCGGCGGTGTCGTGCAGGGGTGAAGCCTTACTTTCACCGTGCGGTTAGCAAGAGTTGGGTGCTTCCTTGCTGTGCTCCATTGATGAAATCCGGGGTATAGCTGGAGCGAATCATGTCTTTTCCACACTGGTCACGCTTCTCTTTGGTTTCCTAGTTTTCTAGGACAAGCGGTGAAGAAACAGATCTATAAAGGTGATTAGGTGTTTAATTCCCATTGAAGTTTATTTCGTTTAGACTTGGCACCTGAAAGGGTCGGGGCAGTTGCCTGCAGTTTACAGTTTTTCTTTCCTTTTAGGACCCTGTGTCACCACTTTCCAAACTCCCCTACTTCTCCCCTCCCTTCTTTTTTTTTTAAAAACAAAAACCAAAAAATGGGTGTTGTTTTTCTTTTTTCTCTTCTCCAGGGAAGAAACGGCTGTTTTGTCTGCTTATTCTTTCTTTCCTCGGGGTAGTGGGAGAAAAAAACCTACTGAATGTTTCAGTTGAGCAAGTGGGATATACATTTGCCCTGAATTTTACTTTTTTTTAATATACATTTTGAAGCTAATACGCATACCTATCAACTTCAGTGAACTTGACCTTCTTGTAGATCTTACCAGAGTTTCATACTGTTAGGTACTACTGTGAAATATGTTCGTTTGGTTTTGTTTGTTTGTTTGTTTGTTTTTAAACCTTCTCTTTCACCTGTTACATTCTTTTCAAAATCCAGGTTTGGTGTCAGTTTTTTCATTTGTCCTCTTTGTCCCTTTACTGGTGTTTTGGTGTTGGCTTGGTGTTTGGTATAAGTCTGTCAGCTCTCTGGGAACCTTGAGGAAGCAATAGGGATGCCTTTTACAGATGTAGTGAGTAGACCAGCAAGCCAGAGGCTTTATCTGCTGTTTTCTTTGGGTCAAGAACAAACAAACTGCTCTTACAATGGATCTGTTAAACTTCACTTCAGGGCTTGCTTGCAAGAAGGAAAGAAACTTCAAGATACATAGAGCTGAAGCTGACAAAGATAAATGTTGTACCATGTCATGTTGTTTTGTAGTGTGATTGTCTTAATCTCGGTGGTTTACTGGACTTTGTCATTTGCCTTATGAATATCTTAGCTGATTCTCCATTTTATACTCTGAGAGCTGATGTTACCTGAGCATCCGTTTCAGGTCTTGGTAACTGCTGCATCATACCTGTCTGGTCCTTTATGAAAATTAGTTAATTTAAAGATTATATGCTGACTTTTTACAAGTTTTTTTTCCCTTTGTTTCCTGAATTAACTCATATGACTACAGGATAAACATTTTTTCATACCATTTTAGTGATGATGGGGCCTAAAGGGCATGGATCTTGTCAGCAATATATTGGTTTTGCCCAAACCATTAAGAAGAGTGAGCTGCCTTCAAGGAGGACTAGTGTCAAAATGTGTTAAGCCACGACAGGCTTGAATGTTTTGGTTTATGGCTTTGACATTCTGTTCACTTTTTCTTGTAATTTATTTATTAGTGCAGTTGTCTTCTATAGTGGAGGACTGACACAGCAAAAAATCTCTTCATTTCAGCTACCAAATCTCCATATCTAACTCTCTCCACTGTTATTTTGTACTGTGAAGAGTTACTGTTGTGCAGCTGCATAGATAGTTACGCTGTTCGCAGCTTAAATCAGTTTCCTTTCCTCTGTCCTGGTAGCTGACTCACAGCTCACTTCCTAGTGTTAGGGAATTGTTTCAGTAACCCCTCTGCTCCTCTTTGTCTTTTTTTTCTCTTTTTTTTTTTTTTTTGCTAGTCTAAAAGTAGCACTGAATATTGTTGTGTAAAGTGTGGATGAGGGTGGTGGTAGCAGTCTGACAGGAGTATGTTCACAGCAGTTCTGGGGAAGGAGCGATGTCAAGCAGTGGTGTACTGCTGGAGATGGGGCAGTGACGTTGGATTGTAAACAATGATGAAAGTCTGACCTTTCTCCAGAAAAACTGAACTTCCTCTTGGCCTAACATACTGTAACTCTCTCAGTATTTGTGTCTGAAACAAACTCTCATTCTTCAAGTACTCTAGGCCATTCTGGTCTTTAATCGCAGTCATGTTAACTGTATATATCATGTTCTTTGTTTGACTGCTAAGAGTATGATGATAGTTGTTCAGTAAGGAACTAACTGTAAATTGTGCTCATACTTTTCCCTCCACCCCCTATAGTGCTTTAGTTTTGGTAACTGAATCTGTTCAAATGTTTGTGTTCTAGGTTGAAGGCAGCAGTAATGCTAACTCTGGCAAGCAAGTTGAAGCGGGATGATGGTGTCAGAGGACCTCGTGCCTCCAATCCAGCTTCTGATTCAACTCGGAGGGTGTCTGTTCGAGATAAATTACTTGTTAAAGGTGTGAAGGGAACTTGTATTTAAGTATATTTTGGGTTTTACAGTTTGCAGGTGTGTTGCCAGTACGCAGTATTAAATTGCATATAAAATAATTTCCAGAAGTATTTTTTAAATGCTTATGATTACCTCATGGTTTATACTGTAGGGTGTATATTGGCATACATTGCGTCTCCGACAGCTCTTTGTAGGGCATTTATTTTCACTGAATAATGCAATGACTTGACAGAAGGGTATTTTTCGAGCAAAATGATAACTGCCTGTGACAGGAAAGAAAGTTCTAAAAGTAACATCAATGTCCTGGTGGTCTCTAATGGTATAAATCAGAGGCTTTTAAAAAGCTTAAAAAAGCAATGTAAAGAGATATTTTTCATAGGCTTGGAGTCACTGTCGAGTTGGGTACGAAGCAGTGAATAAAAACCCAGCACTCATTTTTGTAGCACTGTATGGTCTGTTCTAGGATGGCTTCCTAGGTTGTTACTAGCTGGCTAGCCATTGGTTTGAAACTCCAAACTTTTGCTTTACGGCAGTTCTGGGTAAATGAGGTAGTTTGTGAGCCAATAAATAAGCTATTTTAATGTAAAACTGGGGACAGCTGTTTCTCACTTACCAGTTTTTCTGTAGCACAGATAATCTTATGTTTAAAAATCCACAGGTGCTGGCTCTTTGTAGTCACTGTGTACTTAAATTCAGGTGTACTCCCTGTGGTAATAGTTGAGTGTTTTAATGTGGCAGAGGGGCAGAGAATATGTTATTTAGGTTGACGTTTCTGCTAAAAATGGTCAATAGTGAATATGCTTCTGTTGATGTGTAAGCTGTCATGGTTAGGATTCATGCCGGTCAAATGAAATACTCACATTTCCTGGTCTGATTTCAGAATGGCTTGAGGCTGACACTGGTATATTTGCTTGGATGGTATTGCCTAACTCTGGCATTGTGTATGCCTTTTTCTAATTAGGGTAAATTCTGCCACATAACAGTATGCTGGAGCAAGGTTTCATTGCAAGCGCTGCTCCCTCTGTGCACTGGGAAGTGCCTCAACTAGGCTACAGAAACATTATGTTCACAATTTTCTTTCTTTGCATTGTTCTAAGGACAGGGAGTGTTAATTCACTTTAAACCCTGGTGTGACAACTCTTGCAAAGAGCTTGTTTTAGACTTCCAGTCTGGAAATCCTCAGTTAACTCCAATTCTGAGGGGAAAGATATTAGGCAGGAGGAATAAGCTCTTGAACCAGGCTAAGCTACAAAATATTGTCTGAGGTTTTCATTAACCTAAGTGTAGACTTGAGAGGAAAATAGCAGTGTAATATACTTCAACTACAATGTCTGGTGTAGTGTGAAGTGCCATAAGAAATTTTACTGTACCCTTAGTAAGAACAATCATGTTTTTCACTTTGATGACTAAAGTCTTACCCATCTCTGCAGGGGAAGAAATGAAGGTAGGCTATGGGAAGTTAGTATTTGTATTGTCATTGCTGTGTCTACTGTTAGCAGACCAGCACAGACCAAGTATTGAACGAGTTGAGTCCCAAACTGATTAATTGTAAAAGCAGGTCACTGCTGGTGTCCTTCTGACAAGCGTGAGTGTTGGATTGGGATCTGATAGTGTATGAAAGTTGTATCACGTGGCTCTCCCAAAAGAGTTGTTGGAGTGGCTGTCAGTCTGGTTAGAGTGGTTTCTGACTGAAATGGGAACTGACAGTAGAATTAGATCACTTCAGTCTAACCACACTGAAAGTGAGGTGGAAATGTAGTAGCTAGTGTGAAAATGACTTGGGTATATTTTCTTTTAAGATACCCTTTAAGCCAAATGTAGACCATTCAATAACCAGAGTTTTGAGAACTTTCTAGAGCTTGTTGAGATAGATCAGCTGCAGCAGCATCTACAATGAGCCTGAGTGAAGATGGACTTAACATTGTTTTTGGTTCACGTATAGATCTGTGGGAATGAGTGCGATAGAGCTGCCTACTAAAAGTGTGCATGCACCAAGGATGCTGTTGCATCTGGACCAGCACTGGTGCCTTTTGCTGCTTGATTGTATAGAACTGTAATGGTCTGTTGTGTGCTCAACTTCAGGCTATTAGATTTGAAACAAAGTTGGTGGGAGCCTGTAAGAGTAGTTTTAAGTAGAAGTTGTTGCTGATGTTTGTTTAGACTGGACATATCAAACATAGAGATGACAGCTGCAGAATGGGTGAAAGGCTACAGTCAGTTGCCTGGCAAGTGTCAAAAAGTAATCCATTCTACAAAAAAAAAAAAATCCTGGACATAAGGAAGAAGGAGGAAATGAGAAAAGGTCAGCATGTTCTGTCCTTGTTTGCCCCAGCAGTTGTGCTGAAATTAGTCCTGGTTCAGTACCTGTTAACGGTGATAGTGGTGCTGGTTTTATTCTACTGTGCAAAGCCTCTGAGTTGAAAGAATGAGGGACTGTGGTCTTGTATGTTAGAAAGCTCAAAGTCTATAGCTTCTAAGTCAACGGGAGAGCATCAGACAAGTGGTTGGTGCAGCGTCTTCCACAGCAGCTTACACACATGGTGGGCTGTCCTGGAAGCTTAGCTGGGGGTGATTTTTGGCACAGTACCCTAAATCCCACCTGGCCCTGGGAGCTGGTGATAGTGTATGAACTTAGGTCAGATAGCTGTTCCCCTGCTCCAGTGATGGTGTGCTGCAGAGATACTCTCCTGTTCCCTGATCCACAGTAGATTGGTGATAGTCTAATAAAGTCTGCAGACACTGTCTTGCCAGTTTTACTAGAGGTATTGCCCAGACACGCAATGTCTGGTTTTTATCTGGAGGTAAATTAAAGACAGCCTTGTTTGTGTTGATAGTCCTGTCCAGGGAGGCATTATAGGTTCTGTTTGAAGGATATGTTGTCACACTGATAACCCTGTAGTCCTCAAGTGTTTTGTGTACCAACTGGTAAACAGATCAGTGACATTTTGATTATGGGGTAAATGGCTGTGACTGCAGCCACTGGTAAGCGTAGACGATGCTTACAAACTTTTAAAAATTACTGCTATATATATCTACTAACTAATATTGCTTTGAAGTAGGAAAAATAGGTGATAATTTTGGTATGATGTGAGCTATTTGCACCATATGGATGAGAAGATAAGAAAATTAAAAGCTGGCATTTGAAAAGTATGTGAGCTATCAGGTGCTGTCCTTAGTTTTAGTGATGGGTGCAAGTTAAACCCCCCTGCTTGTATGGAAAAAAGGTTACTCTTAAAATATTGGTGCCCTTTGTTAGTTTTTTTTAAGCTATTCCTTTGTTTGCTTATATGTCCAGTGTTGTCATATATTCAAATATCAATCATGGCTCGGGGCACTGTTTTGTTGAGTTATTTCGTGGGCATATTATGAAAGGAAAAACCTCTGTCCCTGAAGTTTTATGTCAAGAAGTAATTGAGACAGCTGGATGTTCTCTTCCAGCTGTTTTTCCTCTGGAGTGTTAAAGTCATGGCTGGTAAGCAGGATTTGGTGGCAGCCTGTCCCCTGCTGATTGTCTCAGCAACTAGTGGAGCACATTTGGGAGGCTAGCAGGGCACACGTGTCTGGGGTGAGGAGCTCTGTGTCAGTTCTCATCTGAAACCCTGGTAATTCCCAGGAAAACATCCACCACTTTGAAACTGCTGAGGGCAGAAGCATCTGCAGGTGTGTGAGGGTGAGGACTAGTGATTCAGGCTGCCGGTTCTTGGAGAGAGGCTTTTTGACCAAGGAGGGGTGGACTGGAGAGAGACCAAGCAGTGACTAACGTGTTCAAGACAAATTGGAGGAAATCTGAAAAACTAGAGAGGGTAGAAAGCAAATATGGATGTGAGGAGGAGGAACAGACAGAAATGATGCTGGAAGAGGCTTGTCTGTCTCTTTGGCTGGGAGAGAGGCTCTAATAAAGCACAACTTTGTTAAAAGTTCAGTGTGACTTACTCTTGCATCTGTTTTCACTGGATTTTTGATATAGGCTGTGTTGCAGAGTAAGGCCCTAATTATGTAGGCCTAGTATGCAAGCGCAAGTTCAGATAGACCAAGCAGCACACTTGCTTTAGCAGCTTTCAGTTTGTTCTGTGCTGCAGAGGCAAATTTGGTATTAAATTAGTCTCCAAGGGGGAGCTCCATTAAGGTGGGAATAGGGGCCATGTGACTGCTTCTGCAGGATGCTCTGGGCCATGCAGTGCTGCACTTGAAAGGCAGATCCTTTATGAAAATTTGAAAGGGGCTGAGGACAAGCCAAAGCGCTATTTAAGTTTAATATTGTGTAATGAAAGTGCATACTAAGTTGAATTAAAGATAAAGAATATGCCAGGATGTCAGTAGTAGTGGTGTATATGCTTATTGATCACAAAGGTTGTCCTTTGTGCACTATAAAAAAGAAGTTCATAAACATAATTAAGTTGAATATTAGCAATAATGATTAATTTGCTTGTAAGTGACAACTTTAAATAATTTAATGTTTAAGAAAATGAGTTAGCATGGCTTATTCCTCAGTTGTCTTTAGCATTTGTGTGTTTCCCAACCAGATTTATGTAAGTGGGAAATGTTTCAGGTGTGCATTTGTAGAAAGAAAGAAGTGGGAAACTGGTCATAAAAATGAGGTAAATGTGCCTTGTAAATAAAAGTGAGAAGAATCCATATGTTGCTTTCTTCGAACACAGTGATATCCCTCTCCACAATAGCAGGTGAGGAAAATTGAAAGGGGAAAAAATACTTTTCTTACAAGAATTAAAAAAACCCATCACCTTCCTTCATTAACACTCTTGAAATTATGTGAGGTATTGTTTTGGAAATACTGCATTAACTTCTCCATGTTGCACAACTTAGTCACAAAAGCATTTCCTTTTTAAATTGTGCTTTTCAGCCCCAAAAAGTGAACTCTCTTATTTTGGAAGATGACAGTGGAAAGTGTCTTGATAAATGAGTGCTTATACGTACTAAAGAGGAAACTAGTAGTTTACACTAAAATGCTTGTGGCCCGACTCTGGTAGGTACCGTAAAGCCAAAAAGACACAACAAGAATTGAAGCTAATTTGAAAAATTATTGCTGAGACTTTTTCCAGGATTTCAGTGGCTAAGGAAGGCCTGGTTCAACGTGTTGCTTCCCTTCTTATGTCTCTGATTTTCAGCATGCCTGAAGTATGAAGGGATATCTCACAGTGTTAGAGATTTCCAACCACAGTGGCTTTTTTTTTTGATGTTGGGATAATAAGTTTTGTAATAGCATATAGAAGCTGAAGCATGTGATTTGATAGTATCTTGTTTAAAATAAACATTTGGAAGTGGAAGGAAAATACACATCTCTTAGTCTATTGAAAAACTGGCAGTGTTGGGCAGCTTGTTTGACTTCTGATAGCGGTATGTACAGTTATACAGTTCAGAGGAGCTTAGCAGGGAAGGCTATAAAGACAGATGGATAGCATTAGGAGGCAAACAGCATTATCCTGCTAGGATTAATACTTGGAAAACGGGGTTTTTGTTAGTGTCAAGGTATTTACCTTAGTCTCTAGCAGTCTTAAAGATGCACATTAAATAAGGAACTTGAACAGGAGAGGAGGCTTTTTGGACAAAACCAGAGAGAAGTAAGTATTGCTGTGGATGAGAATGTTAATTTCAATTTAGGAAACAATGCTTTCATTTTGTATTCTTAAAAACAAACTCCAGTGGGAAGCATGTGGCCTGACTCTGTATTCTGACTTGTTGAACTGGGGTGGGAGAAGGGGAGGGAGCAGAACAACATGATTATAGTCTGTGCGTTACTGAGTATAACATTCGCATGGGTCTCTCACAAACCATATGCTGTTTCTGTCTGAGAATTGTCATGGCTAGGAAGAATTATTGTTTGTGAAATTATTTACAAATAGCTCGGGTTGCTTGTGTTAGGTTTAGCTTTCCCCTTTTTTATGAAGTTCCTAAGCTGTTTCTGAGACATAATCGGTTTGCATTCAACTCTTCCAAAGTCTGTGGTAGCTTTAAGTTTAACCCTTGCCTTTTTAACTTTTTTTTTTATGGTTTGAAATAGCATTTGGAACTGTTTAACCAAGTGCATACTGAGTTAAGAGCAGAACTCTGCAAATATACCTGCTGCCTGGGTGTGTACCTGCACCAGTTCACAGAAGGTTTCAGGAACACCAGATGGTTGTGAGTGAACTCGCCTGGTTGGGAGTTCGTCTGGATCTGGCCTTACTGCACCTGAGTTTTTTTTTCTTGCAGAAGCTCTGGCATGTGTCTGCACTTGTGGCCTTTCAGACCTGCCCAGGATGGCTTATCAGAATGGGTGCAGGGCCTTGCAGTGCTCCCAGGTTTGCTGCTTCTTGGCAATCAGCTCTCTTGACTGCAAGAGGAATTCAGATGCTCTGCAGTGTTTCTGCACCTCTGCTAAGCCAGTGCTGGGCAGGCATTGATGAGCACTGTTTCCTTGTGGAAGTTCTGGCATGCTTTTGCACAATAATTCCTGAGACTTAAGTTATCCAGTTATTTGTCTCCACATCTTCAGGAGCTGTGAGGTGCCTGGCTGTGAATTGAGACTCCACAAAAGCAGTTAAATGGGATTTTCTTTAGTATTCAGCTGTAGTAACAGTAATTTTTTGAAAGAGGAAGTCGGAAAGATCATGAGATTAAGTTTGTTCTTTAAGTTAGTGAGGCTTTTGGAGCTCTTGAAAGTTCAGTGCATTGGAGCTCTGAGTGTTGCTTCAGCATTTTGATTATTTACAGATCTGTTAAACCATGCCAATAAGTTGGCAGACTGCACAAGGAGCATTGTCTTACAGAGAATATTCTTGCAAATGTTATTGCTTTATGCACAAAATATGTAATGTAAAACATCAGAATCCTAATGGAGCTTGGAAGATGTGGTCAAAACATGTGCTTTCCAAGCAGCAAAACACAAAAATTATTTCAATGTCAAGACTGTTACTACCAGAGAGTCATAGGATTTGGCAAGCTCACGCACCCTGTATCTTTGGCCCATAAATGTGCTAGTGAATCACCAATGTTAACATGGCTCAGGTAATAGAAACATTTGCTTCCTTATTTGATGTTACTTTAAAAGTTTAAATTATTGAAGCAGATCTTTACCTTTTGTTTTATCTTTATAAAGTTATTTCATTCTTAGTTTTAGTGGTTTGTTGTGGAGTTGATTAGAAACCTTAATTTTGGGGAGCTTGCCTTTGTTCACGAATCTTTCGTATGAATTAGTTATCATAGCCTCCCCGCGTGTTTGCAGACCTTCAGAGAAAAAGCATGCTGTTCTGTACTCATGGGTATGAGCACCTTTCTTTTCATGTTGTCACAAGAAAACCTGCTCATTCTTGTGCCAAGACAAAGGGAAACACAGAAGCGTGAATGCATTACGGGAAGTTTTTCTCCCTTCAAAGGAGCTATGGTGATCAGTAAACTCTCTGCCGAACCTCGCAGAAGGCAGAAGTGAGGCCCCAGCTCACCAGAGCTGCTCCGAACCCAGCCATTGCAGCGTTTGAACATGCTGTGTCCTTTGATGTCTCCCTTGTCCTGCTGCCCTTTCTCAGAATTGAAGCAAAAGAGGGGGCAGGATTCATTAAGCTGAACAACACACAAGCACAGAAAGCAATAAGGAAAGCAGTCAACACCTTAAAATAAGAGCCAGGTTCTAAATTCTACTGTCCAGTGAAGACTGATAGTGCCTCCCACTGTGAAAGGCTGGTGAGTTTAAAGAGGAAAGGGTGGGGGAATACTCTTAGAATGGGTTTGTATAGCTGCAGCCTTCAGTAACTGGTTATGTCGGGTTCCCCCCCCATAACCAGAAACGGAAAGTAAATATAAAGGTTACATTTTCTGGTATATTGTAAAGACAGTACTCTTGGAAAACTTTTAGGACAAGTATGCCCCCAGTGCCATGTGTCTTTCAGTGCACAGCTTTGATTAAATCAGCTGTGGCTGCTCGAGTGCTGCAGAGGGTGGGATTTTAAAGAGTGCAGCTGAACTTTTTAGGTAAGTGTGAAACGCAGTGCTTCTGTTTTGGTGGGATTTTCTCTCTTGGTATAGTAGGCTGCAGATGCAGGGATACCGGGGCTGTGCCAAGCAAATGTGTGGTGGGGGTCAAGTAAGCTTCCTGCTCACTGCAGATACTAGCCAGATTTGGTAAGCATGGATGCAAGCAAATTTCAGGGGAATAAGTGAGCTCTTAATTGTGATGAGATTAGTTTGGATCCTGTGCCAAGAAATTATTCCCAAAATCTTAAACTGAATTACAGTTTTCTTGAGACATATGTTTTTGTGAGTTGGCATTGAAATCTCTTGCACATTGTTGTTAGCCCAAATAAATGGGTTGTGTCTGTGCATAGCAGAAAGCAAAGTTAGAAATCAAGTGGGGACAAAAGACTGCAGGAAATGCAAAAATATGCTTGATTAAGTTTCCTAGAACTTTAGAAGTTAAAGAAGATGTTGATGCATGTTATTCATGTTTCTGTGAAATACAAGTGGTTGAAAGTAAGTCTTCAGTAAAACACACAGAAGAGGGAGAAAGCAGGGGGGCTTCCAAAGAAAGCAGCATAGCAGAGAAAGGGCTTAGGAGTAAACTTCCCTTCCTAGGAGCTGTGGATCTGAATCAGGTTACTTCCTTTCTTTTGTGAATAACTTCTAATTTTTATGTATGAATAATAAATAAGAAGAAACTTTAATTGAACAGGAGTGAATATCTATAGCAAACTGTGCTCCCAGGGGAAATATCCAATAGACACAGGAGCAGAAAATCTTAACACTCCTGAGTTCGTACAGCAGTGCACAAGTCTGGAGGGAGTTGTGCAGTGGATGCAGTTTGTATCACCGACCAGTGTGTGTTACTCTGCCAGGTGCTTCAAGTGAAGTTTTGTCTTTCTCAGTTCTTTCGGTGCTCTTAATGGTGGTTTCTGCAGGCAGGACCACATCTAGTATGGCAGTGCCCTTGAATGAGGGTTTCAGTAACTGTTTTCAAGTGTGCAGTACTTGTATCATGCTTGGAGGCTTCCCTACAAAAGCAGCGCGTTACCCGAGGCAGTCTGTAGCAGGTGATGGAAGAGCATTAGCGGTTAGATGCTGGGAAGTGGTGATGCTTGTGCAGGCTGTGAACCTCCTGTGCTTTTTTCCTTGTTGGACTGACACTCTGATTCTCGAGGTTTTTCTGCTCTTGCATTTTGCAGGCTGTGGTGTTCCGGCCTTCCGTATTTTAGTGCCTTTACGTAGACAGGTTTGGATAATGCCACCTTTTGAAATGCCAGTGCTCTGTGTTTTAGAAGCCCTGGAGCTTCAGTCTTGGCAGAGCTGAACCTTCTAATCACAGTAGGATGTGTTTGCGTTGTCTGTAGGGCAGATGAGCGTTTTTAGTAAGGAATTGCCTGGCTTAAAGAGAAATTTCAAGGTAAACCTCCAGTGCAGCTTAATTACATTTTTAAGTAAAATTTGATTTACAGGGTGGTTTAAATTAGATCTGCCAATTTGGACTTCAAGAATGGCTTTGCTTCCATAAGTAACAGTGATTTTTTGTTTTTTCTTTCAACAGAGGTTGCAGAACTTGAAGCTAATTTACCTTGTAAGTATAGCATTTTGTACCATGCATTTTAAGGGGAAAAAGACCATTGAACTGAATGCTTTGACTGAAATATGAATGCTAATGATATTTGTTAACTCCAGGGAAAGCTGTGCAGAACTCTGCCACTCAGGCTTGAACAGGTTTTCTTTGTTGCTCCCTCTTGAGGGATTGTGGAGGGTTGGACCCTTATTAATGTCCTTTGGAAGCAGTATTGATCATTTGGCTTCAGAATTTGTTTGTTGGTGGAGTGGGAACTTCACACTCATAAAATGCCCAAAAGGTATCTGGAACTGAAGAGTGCATTTATTGCCTCACTCCTGTTTTTTCTCCGGTCTCTCATTTTCAAAACAGGAGATTCTGATTTAGGGGCAGAGCAAAGATCTCGGTTCTCAGGAAACTTACTAAGTCAACCTAGTGCTCTTTCAGTTCATGTGCAAGCTCTAACCTGATGCGTTTGTTAGTAGCGAAAATACTATTAAAAATAGTTTTTTTTTTTTAAAGTGATCAACATTCCTGAAAAAAAAAGCAAGGCAGTGTGGTTTTAGCCCTAGAATATTACTTTTAATGTATGTTATGCTAAAAGCTGAAAGTACTGACCGCTACTTTAAAATAGGCTTGTTGCTTGTAAAGCTGAGGCATAGATAGTTAAAAATCAAATGTTTTCTGTTCCTTAGCTTTAGAAAGCCTGGTTTTGTAATGGAGAGCAAAACACAAAGCCCTTTTATAAAGGGGAGTAACGTTCCCAATGCTCTGTTATGTGTTGCTAAGGGTGGGTGTTGACAGTGAAGCCCAGTTGTTGCTGAGTTCTCTTCCCCTTCAAGCCTTGACCAGAACAGCATAATTCTGCTGTGAGTTCTTGGAATACAGGCAAACGCAACAAGTTATTGCCTAGTATGCTCAGGTACGCTCAGAGCCCATTGCTCGCTCTGTATAACTTCCTGTGGTACGCATTCCTGTTTCAGAGTAATCCAGGATGTTTCCCCTGTAGGGAAGGATGTATGAGCAGCTTGCAGCATGCTGGGAGTGTATGTGCAGGCTGTTACTGTGCTGTGCATTCACACGTCTTGTCCATATGCTTATCTTGCAAAGAAAAGCAGTGAATATTCTCTCTGATTACTCTGGCGGGTAGCTCGTGATGTGTCTAGTCTGTCCCTAAGGGAAGCTTTGTCTATATTTTTTTTTTTCTCTTCAAGTTAAACTTATGAGTGCAGTTTCTGATGAGCATCTTATGTTTGCTGATGATTCTAAATCCAGATCAATGCTCAGATCTCAAAAATCAGGCTTTTCAGAGTACAGACTGCCTGATGGGAAAAATACAAAATAGAGCAGCAAAAAGGTGGCAGGAAGAGGCATTATTTAACTTTTCCTTTCTGTATGCTCTTCTTTCTTAAAGGCAATTACAGAGCTTCTACACAGAGTAATTTTAACTTTTAAACTTTTTTGTGTAGCCTCTCCTATAGGATAACAAATGCCTGAGAAACATATCAGGGTTTGTAGTTCCTACAATGTGAATGTATTACTAAGGTCTGTGTGCAGTTATAGTTACTTTTTCAGGCAAATGGGGTCTATATCTCTGATACTGTTTAGCTCCTTGACTACAGAAGAAGGAACAGCCAGCTTGGTGGGTTAAGAAGCTAAAGGCTACATAATGTGGATAAAAATGTATCCATGGATATATGCATCTTTTAGCGCTAGCTTGACAGCTTGTCTCTGCTGTAGTCAAGAAAGGCCAGTTTATGCATGGGAAGGCAACTTTGTTTGTGTCATCAAATGCAAACAAAGGGCTGTTACAATGTGAACTTGCATCTGTTGAATTGAAACCACTGACTAGTTTTATCTCTTTTTTTTCCACAGTCATTCTTCATTCTCACTACTTTCCTTAGATTGTCTAGTCAGAGTGAAAACATAGTGTTTGGTTTGTAATGATGCTCTATAACCTTTGCTGTTAATGCATGTGTTTGGAAACTTGTTCAATATGACAGCTGAAAGGAGACTTCACTGGCTTTTGGATGAGGCTTTCGGTAGAACTTGTATTTCATTGTACCTTGCAGGTATAAATAATCCTTCGTTAGCAGAGGGCTGTGGTGGCATGGCTTCTTGCAGACTGCAGTGTATGATCAAATGTTCAGATACACACATTAACATTAAAAAAACTTGTAAGGATGAGATGCTCATTCTGTGTGCTGTCATTTTAACATGTAGCTACTATCTATGCAGAAGACCAAATCCTTTGGCATTGAAAGAAGACCAAATCTTTTCTGTCTTTGAGACAGAATGGTTTATTAGAAGGAAGTAAGCTTCTTCCTCACAGCTCAAAGAAGTGAAGTTCTGTTACTGCAGGTGACCTGTTAACTGTGTAGGGAGAATGTGCTTAGAGACTAAGTGTAGGAGGAAATTGCTTGGCTGGCAGGTAGGGATTAATCGAGGAGTGAATTTGGAGAGTTTGAAAGATGGTATACTTGTTTTCCCAACAGTGGAAAAGCATTTGTCTGATGTAAATTATTCTTTTGCTTCACAGGTACATGTAAAGTGAATTTTCCTGACCCAAACAAGCTTCACTACTTTCAGCTAACTGTAATCCCAGGTAATTTTTTTTAAGCATGTTACTTTTGTTTCTGTGCGTGTTGGTGTTTAGGAAACAATTCCAAGAGTTTGCTCAAGAATCTGATAAACTTTCTAGTCAGAGAAAGACTGTAATATAGTGATTATTTTCTACAGGCAGTGTAGAAACTGGGCTGGATTTTGTGAACTAGATTTCAATAAAAAGGCCATCAAAATTGAGAGGGTTTAGGAAATATTCAGGTCTTGTTTGCTCACTTTGAAAACTTTTTTCTTCTCTCAGCCAGTTTCAAACCACTTTGTTTTATTTGCTGAGGAAAACTTTGGACTAGTTCTAGAAAAATCATTGTATTATAGCCCTGTTACATTGCAGATGTATATTTTTCTACTGATTGCTTGAGTCTGCCGAGTTGAAAAGATAGATGACAGATGTACCACTGGGAAACTTCAAATCTGTGTGTGTCTGAAGATGTTTAACTGCAGGAGGAGTTAAGCAGTCTCTTAGTCTTTGAATATTCAAGTATGTGGAAATTAGATCTTTTATTACTAATACAACTTAAATATACTGTGAAGCTTCTGCTGGCATGCTGTTCAATGAAAACAAAACCTTAGGACTAAATTTACAGAATTTATCATTTCCGCATAAGTTTCTTAATAGCCATCTGAAAATAGTTTGCTCACATGGCTGTCCATTTTAGAGTACAAAGTTGTGTTTGTGTTTAATGGGTGAGTTTTCATGGAAGATTATTTAAACTTCACATGCACTTCTTACTTTTTCTGTGTGTTTCATTGGAGACTCTGTGGAACTATTCAGATGCGAACCTTGGTGTGTTCAGTACACTGGGTTGTTTGAGTTAGATGTGCTGGGATCGGTATCTCCCTGCTGACTAAGTCTTGTAGATGCATGATTTCTGTACATGCTTATTGACAACAGGATTTTGGATGCAGTCATCTTACCTGTAGAAATAATGGTTTATACTTAACAGGGCGATAGGAATTTTTCAGATAATTCAGTATCTTGAAGTCAAATGGGCGCTAGATGTCAGTGTTGCTGCTTATTAGCCAAAATCAACTTGTACTTCCTTGGCAGGTGAAATTGTGGGTGGTGTTCGTTAGCATGTCCATTCATTTGACTCCTTTTTGTGCTGGAAAAATTAGTTAGACTGCCCTAGTCAGTGTAATAAGAAAATAAATGCACGTGCTATTATAGGACTCTTAACCTCTCACTCTGTAGGAGATATATTCATGTTTACTTGGTGAATGTTAGTCTGCTTGAGTCAAATGTCCTTCAGTTTATACGATAGTGCTTTATTACATTTTTGGAAATGAGTTGACTTTACAAGATCATCACTGTGTGAGTTAGAGATGACTTGGATATGAAGCTATGGTAGCTTCTTTGTACTAATTCTAAGGTGTCTGAATACTTAGTCTTTTTTGTTCTGTTAACTGCTGTGCAGCTAGATACTGCAGTCAGAAGACAGTCGTTGAGTGCAGAGCATGGTTTTTGTGCAAGCTTCATTGCTGAAGTGATCTTGGGAACAAGATTATCTTAATTAACATTTTGTTACTCTAAATATAGCTGCACAGCTGAAGTCTCTGCAGTAGCAGTCTGACCGAAGTAAGCATCTATTTTCAGCAGTGCAGAATTCAGGTACGGAATCTTGTGATCAGCTAAAGCTTATTAGCACAGCTCTCTAAAGGCAGGATGTAACACATACCAGGAAAATCTTTGTAGCTTTCTGATTCCTTTTGTTATTGAGGATTTTCTTTAGTGTATGCTAAATTTAAGTTTTCTCTGGGACAGCAGAAAGACAGCTAAGTGGTTGTCACAGAATTTTTATGGCTCAGATGGGCCAAAATGTTTGATTGAAGCAACTATTTTTGCAGAGTCTAAACAATGTTGCATGAATCTTCACAGTCTGGAGGGAGAACCAGTTTTCCTCCTCCTAACCTAATCTTTTGTTTTGAGGAACTGAGTTACTTCTAGTAATCCTGCTCATACATCTGGCTCTTAAGGGAGTGCTTTACAAATATCTCTGCAGCTTTCCAGTTGTGGAACAAGAGCTGGGCTCAGTGCAGCTGCAGTGCCAGGGAATATCTAATGCTGCCTTGCAGTTCTGTCAGAACGTACATAGTGAGTGTGTGAGCTAGGGTTGGTAGTCTGCACAGCAAAGAGGGTCTTCCTGGCTCACTTAGGGTTCTCAGTTTGCTTGCATCCTTCTATGACAGAACTGTTAAAAGGGTGCTAATTACTTTATATTAATATTTTATGTTTAAGTTCTGTTATATTATGATTAATGTTAGAGCTTGAATTCTGTAACCACCTTTTATAAGGAATCTTACATCAAGACAGTTTCTGAAAGTAGCTGGCCATCAGGGTAACGTGCGGGTACTGACAGAAGGTGGTGTGGTTTTTGTTTGTTTTCTACACTAGAAATGCATGTTGAAGTTTGTTCTAGCTTATGTATGGACAAAGTCTGTTCTTGGGTGCTTTGTTTTTTGTTTTATGTAGTCATTTCGAATGTGGCTGGTCTGGAAAGGACAGCGAAGGAAGCTGCTTTAGGTTCTCACAAGAGGTTGATTTGAATAAGAAAACAAACTTTGAGGTTAAACAAATACTTTCATTTGCCTTCCTCTCCACTTCTCACAATAAACTTTCTTAGTAAGTATTTAATGTTGCAGTTATTCTGGTGACTGAGTTTTAAATTAAGAGGAATTTGTAGAACATCTTGATGAGGTTGACTGCTTATTTCACAAAAATTGCTTGTGCTCAGGAAATTCTGATTCCTTGATGTTAGAGCCTTCTGCCCAGTACTGTGAGTGAATATATAGTAGCACACGTGAGAAAATAGATACAATTTAAATTTTTACTGCCGCAGTGGACAAACTGTGTGTTCCCGAGGCAGATACCCTTGGCTTTCACTGCTGTCTAAAGCTTCTTTTTCCTTTTGCTCTCTGAAATAATTGTTCTGTCATTGAAAAATGCCCTTATGCCAGCACTTGCCTCTGTTCTTATTTTTGTGCCAGTACCTTACTGGATCAAAAGCTAGGAAAAATAAGGAGATAAGAGCTTATGATGTGGGCAGAGTCCTGCCTGCTGCACTGATATTTGGAGCACAAAATTGGAAGCTGAGACTGAAACGTGGTAATGACTTGGGGAAAAAAAAGTTTAGTTTAGGTAGCTTGCACATGAAGCAAACCAGACAAATATGTAGCGTTAATGCAATTTTCCTGCAGTTCCCAGATAGTTGGGGTAGTCTGGGGTTAGTGTGATTATTTTAGAGTCCTGCTCTTCAGGGAATTAATAAAGAGCCTGTTTTCTGTTTTGCGTGCTATAAAATGAAAAATGTTGGTAAGCGTGGCTGAGCATTTTGATGCTGATGATTCAAGGAGCTACTATCACAAGCACATCCTTTATGGGCTGTCCTAATTATCTCACAGTTTCTTTTAAAGCAATAAAATAATTTGATTTATTTTCACAGCACTTCTAGCCATCAAAACACCTTAGAAATGCAGACTAAGATTAGAGTCAGGTTGTTGATAATGAAACTTGAGACTGGAGTGGGAGGGATGCTTGCTCTGTTCAAACAGTTTGAAGACATAAATTTAAGCAGTAGGAGGAAAACTGGAGCTCAGACATATTCCCTTTCTGCAAAAGTCTCGTCAGCGGACAGCTTCCTAAGTTATGTGCTAAAGCTATTTTATTTGACTGTTTTATTTATAGCACTTTCCTCACCATTAACTTTGCCAGAATTTCAGTTTTTCCCACTGCTGTTACATGCCTAAAAAAAATTGAGGGTCTTGTCCCAGTCTGTATGGGTGTTGTGGACCACAGGCAAGGAAACTACCCTATGGAAGAACCTATTTACTTGCTTGAGATGCTAAAAGATGACTTCATTGTGAAGGCTTATCTTGTTAATGCATTGTAAGGTTTCTGGCTGGGTACTGAGGCTCTCCAGAGCCATGAATTTTTAATACACGTTTGAGTGATTGTTAATAAGTAGCATACTTTATTGTTGTTTAGTTAAAAGGTTTACAAACCTACAGGGAGAATTGTAAAAAAAGGGGGAGGAGAGTTGCCTTACCCCTGGTAAGTATGTCCTTGCTTATTTTATGACAGAACCAGGAGGGTACCCAATGCACTTTTTGGTTAGTGCTAGCGTGGACTGATGCTAGGTAAACCCAAAACATAAAATGAGAAGTTGTAATGCAAGGCAGTGATATTGATTTGTCTTTGGGGGAGACTCAATCGTGTAAATATGTGGAAGTGGCCTGCTGTGTGATGTCTAAAGTGCTCTAAGTCTTCCAGAAATTTCTTAGCCTTACATGGAACAGAGAAAAACAAATAAAAGAAAATGGAAGTAATACATAAGGCATTTCTTGCAGCCTGTGGAGGTGTTAATAGCTGGTTAAAAAGTGTTTGAGCTAATCTAAAACATTTTTGCAGGTGGTCTTTCACCATCTGGTCCTGCTACTTCTCTTCTGCTGGCACTGGTCATAATTTAACCCCTCTGCACACCAGTTTGTCTTGATAATCCTGCAGGAAACTCTGCACTCCTTTTGTTGCGATGGTTTTATTAGCAAGCAAGGGCTTGCAGCTTCAGCTGAGCTCGCCTTGTCTGATTTCATTCTGCACGTGGGCATGGGGAGTTTCTGCCGTGGCTGGGTGGAAGTGGAGCTATCCTGAGCTAGATCTACATGGTGAGGAAGAGCAGAGAAAGTGAACAACTGTTCAGCCTTTCCACCCCTGCCCCGTGGATCTCTTGAGCAATGTCAGAGCGATCTTGCTGTCTGTGCTTGGGGTTGAGGGCCTATCATGATGTTCCTGCGTGCTGCAGAGGTTGTGGGCCTGGTGTTTTCAGCATGCAGAGAGACATGGAGCATGGCTTTTTCTCCTGCGGCTTGACTGGCAGAAATCTGACAGTTTTTTGGCAAGCTCTCCTCCCCAGGATCCGTTCTCGAATGTGTCTTTTGGAAAAATGTATTAGAGTGAGGATTCATTAAATCTGAGGATTTTCTTTGACATAAGGCGCGTGTAGATACATCCACCAACAGGCATGTATTTCACATTAGCAGGGGTGGAATACGAAGAGCTGCTGCGCAGTTGGCTCTGAGTCCACGAAATCAAGGAACTATTGAATTTCAGCCAAGGAAAATAACTTTCTGTACTGGACTTCCTGAGCAACCTTAACAGTGTTGGTGTTTCTCCTTTACCTTGCTGTACTGACAGCAGGCTTGTGTCCGCACAAACACACGTGGGCGTTTCCTGGGATTGCTTGTATTGGGAAGTGATGGCTTGATAAGTGCTGGTAAGGCAGAGGGCGGTGGAGAGGCCCATGGAAGGCTTTGAGTTACATGGTTTGTGCTACAACAAGCGCTGCATGCCTGTATAGTGTTGCTTGTTTGTTTTAGTACGATCACTGAAAGACTTCTGTGGCTGATTCTGATGAGCATGGGTTTTATGATGAATGCTATCATACGTGGAAATCTTGAGGGTTAATGAGTCTTGGTTAAAAAGCTGTTAGAGTGCTAGATGGTAGATAAAGTGTGGCTAGCTGTGTCCATAGGGTAACTTGGTGGTGCTTGAACTGTTTGAACTTGCAGGGGGATATTGGACTATTTTCCTAATTGTTCGTTCCTGGAACAGTCAGTGTCTTGCTTTGAATGTGTTGTACATTTGACAGGGAGTGGCTTCACCAGAAGGATATGGGTATAACTCACCTTTTACATCTCATTCTTCAGAAATTACTTTACTGGTTTTTATCTCAGTATATTTGAAAGCAAAAGAGAAATGCTTTTATCTTGTTTTTTTCCATAAAGGTCGGTGGATGTGCATTTACTTTCTGGTAGAGCATAGTGTGCCTGAGAAGGCTGCTTAATAAATCAAACACATTTCAAAATTGAATTGGAGTGGAAATGGAGAATGGATTTGAAAAGCGTATGTTTTGGACAGGTTATTAAAGTGAGATTTGCAGTGGCTAGGGCTTGCAGCTTTGTGCTGCACAGGTCAGTATGGAGGCAGCTGTAAACACTACTGTGTGGGGTGGGGAATACCAGCCGTGTTCTGTTTTCATACTCTGTGCTTATGCTGCTCTTACAGTCCAAAATTTCTGATGCTCTTTGTGTGCTTAACCTGTCAGTGGTCTACACAGAGGCTCCTGGGAGAAGCAGGACCGTGATACACTTCCCAGCAACTCTTTTGCTGTTCTGCAGGCACAGGTCGTTCGGAGTGGCACGCTGGCCGTAGTGTGTGGTTGAGTGTCATCTTTGGCAGCATCAGCTTTTACTGGCTCACTTCCCTCTGTAGCTGAGGGTTTGTGTTATTTAACAGGGTGATGCCCTCTTCTTTTCAGTAAGTCAGCTGATAAGATATTGTAAAGAGCAGGAGGGTACGAGCTGGCTGCTCTCCTGTGATTATGGCAGTTACAGTGTGGAAGCTACAGAGTTGTGCTGGCAGCGATGAGATTGGAGCATGGAGTGAAACCTGAGCAAGTGGATGTGGTGCAGTGGCTGGTAGGAGAAAATAGAAAGTTGTGCTAGATCTGTGTAGGGTCTGGGAAGGCAGCAGGTCCAGAAGACACCATCCTGAGAAAATGTTGATGTATAGTAGAGGGGCTAGAACTTTTTTTTGTGTTTTGGAACAAGCCAGATAATAAGATAACTCTTTTAAATATTTCTGTAAACTATGGATTGCTTCATAGAACTTTTCCTTTGCAACGTTGGTTTTAAAAATAATATAAAAAGGCAAATGTCTTACAATAATAACTAGCCTTGCTGATGCTCAAGCCTTCATGGTGCTGTGTGATACAGAGCTGGAGTACTGAAGGTAGTTTGAGGCTGAGCATTCCTCAGGAGTCCCCGACCCCCAGTGGGGGCTGGGTACCTGTCTGTTTCCCTTTCTTAATGAAAAAACTCAATAATGGCAATGCCAGACAGACACGTGTCAGATCGCTTGCAAGCAGTTCAGCTTTCAATCGCAAGACATCTGAAGAGTTGCAGGCTGACTAGTATCCTTTTACATCATCTCTGGCTAAATGCAACTACACGTTTTCAGATTTAGTATTTTAAAATTTAGCTATTCAGTTATTGAGTCTGAGGTTGACAGAGAGGCAGGCAGATTTTCCTAACTGATGTATCATCCTAAGGTAATTACAATAAAAGAGCTAACTTGCTCTTTTATTGCAGTACACTCTGAAGCATACTCTTGCACACTGTTGTTCATACTAATCACAATATATGATTGCTAGCATGAGTCTGGGAAGATGTACTAAATCCTGAAGCAGGATTTAGCATGCATTAGCCAGTAAAGTATGTATCCAGCTCATTCCAAGGGTCGGTGTTGTGGTACTGCGTGCCATAGGGACAATGTGTGGTAGAATTTTGTTCCTACAGATGTGAAAAATTCAATTAAAAGCTCTTCCAGCTTGGTGGTGTTTGGAACACTTATCAGGAAGGTTTTTTTTCCAGGGTCACTCTGGGACTCTTGACTCTTCTGAATTAAATCAGTCTCTGCTGTAAATGCTTTGGTAGTGGGGGAAGACACTTATGTTCACTCTCTTCGGATTAGGACACAGCTAGTGTCATGGGGTTAAGTATTTGATGATGGCTCTGTGCTGTTAATCTTTAATGACAGGTATTTTGTATTTTATCTGTTGTTTTATCTTATTTAACTATTTCCTCATTCTTTCTTTGCTAGATGAGGGCTATTACCAAGGAGGAAAGTTTCAGTTTGAAATTGAAGTTCCTGATGCCTACAATATGGTGGTGAGTATTTGTCATTAATATCGTAGTTGTCGCTTTAGGTTTTCTTTCCAGGTAGTAGGGCTTCAGAGGGAACTTGGCATTGAGATTAGGAAAGGATCTTCTTTCTGTCACTAAAGTATCGTGGGTTGTAGAAAAATCTTGGTTGCCTAGAATTTTTGAAGGTCATCTAAACTTCTGCTCAAAGCTGGGGCAGTGTTAAAGTGGGATTTGATAGCTCAAGGACTGGGCCAGTTGGCATTTCAAACAGCTTGTTTCTCTGGCTTTAGCTTTGCAGTCCAGTGTTTGCAACCAAACAGCCTTGAGGCTTTTATTGCCTCAATAATATTATTCCTTAAAGAAAAAATAAGTATTTGCAGCTGTCTGGTGGAGGCTGATCAGAAGCGCAGATGAGTCAGACTTGGGAGTTTCCCTTCTGGCTGAGGTTCCACTCTCATCTATTCTCTCCTGTTAATTATTCTTGAGACCTGCACTTAGTGATTATTCGAACAAAAAAAAGTGTATCTATAAGAGAAAGAATCAAATAGGTGAACAGAAAGGAAAAGTTTGGGGTTTTCTTGTTTCTCTGGAACCTTCAAACTGTGCTTATAGTTCTGATATTGGACTTCGTGCTTAATCCCTTTTGAGAGCATGCAGTGGAGGACGTGGAAAGCACAGATATGGTAACAAGTGGCCTCCTTTAGCACACTCTACAAGTTCTACTGGTTGTCTCCCAGGCTGTTAGTTATGTATTGTTAAAAAATAAGTTTCAATGGTTATTAAGCAAACAACTTTCCAGAGGAACTACAAATAGTTACGATATCTTATTGTAACTAAGTAGGAAGCTCCAGAAAACTTGGACTTCTCAAGCATGAGAAATGTTGATATTTTGTTATTGTACTTTACTAAAATTGCAGAACCTTGTAAGGGAGGGAGGTGCAATTACAAGAAAAACAACTTCAGACATTGTTTTGAGAGTTTAGCTGTCAAAAGAACAAGATTGAAAAAAGAAAACAATTGGGGTACATGTCTGGTTCTCAGGAATTACACCTACCATTCTGTGTCCTGATAGTTTGATATGTAAGGAAACTGGACTCATTTGAGCAATTAACTTGCAATAGTTGCATTTAGGTATATGAGTTTCAGAAAGAAGGAACCATAATTTTCTTGTCATTTGGACAGTTTTGATAATTTTGCTTGCTTTTTCATTTTCTCCCCATCCTTCTGCTTTCTGTTTTCTTACTTCTGGTGGTGATAGTTCAAGAGCTCTGCTTTCAGAGAGGCTGAAGAGTGTGTAGAGGAGGATACTAGAGAAATGTTTCCAGGAAGACTTTTGGTTCATGTGTTCAGATGCACCAAGCCTGAATTCAGTGTTGTATATATGTAGTAGTTACAGTCACAGCATTGTTTATATACAAAGATGAAGGTGCAGTGGTCTGGAATGTGATAGCTTGAATCCCCAGACTGAGCTTGTAGAATCAACACTCCTAGTAGAGTAGAAAGATTGTTTCTGAAATCAGAGGAGTTGAGTCTGCATTCCAGAAGATGCATTCACAAGTTTTCTAATACTCCTTTATTTATAGTCTAGTGGGACATGCACTGTATCTTATAAAAATGTCATGCTTGTGGAGGACTACAATGTTTCTGAAATAGATTTGAATTTTCCCCCTTCTTTTTTGATAGTGGTGCTCTCCTTTCATAGTAATATTGATCAAGGATTATCTGTTTAAGCTGTTTTGGTTTTTTTTTTAAAGTACTTAGGATCCTGTCTGTCTTTATTGATACACTTCACTTAGTACATGTAGGTGTTCTGGATGGTGTTTGCAGTTGTATGGTTTTGGTTGTGGTTTTTTTAAGTTCCCCTTAACCTCACCAAAGAGTTTTATACTGCAATACAGGCCCCAGTTACTAGCTCGTGGGTGGTTATGCACACACTATAAATACAAAGGTGGTCCTTTAAGGTAGACTACATCCTTGTTCTAACATGAATAAATTGTGCTATCACATACTGGAGAAACATGGCCTTCAGTATGAAGGGGGAAACCCTGTCATGTCCTCTGCTGTCTAATCTTAGTCATCTTCAGTAAAAGCAGTTTAACCACTGTGGCAATGTTGGGCACAGGGGAACATACATGATATATAATAGTTTAACTTCTTAAGTTTTTGTGTCAGTATTCACCTAAACAACACTGCTGCAGGGAAGATAGTTGCTGTGTTAACAGCAGAGCTGAATGTTAATTTTGGTATTTTTTTTTTTAATCCTCAATTGCTGTAATTAAATCTTCTGGTTTGTTATGGTTCCCTGCTCAGCACTGGCAGAAAATCTACAGCAAATGTTAATTAGATATTTTTAAATTCTCAGCCCCTCTCACTGAATACAAAGTAAAAAGTTTGCCTTTGTGCAATCTAGAAAAAAATGCAGGAGGTTGAATGTTGGATTATGGTCAGTTTATTAATGAAAATGTATATATTCACAAATATTGAGATAATTATGCTGAGGCCATGGTTTGTTTTCTGACAGACAGAATAAGACTAAAACAAGTGATGGCAGTGGTTTTGATAGAGCTATTCAGACCTGCCGGTGTTCTTTCAACCCATAAGCAAGACTGGGATATTGCACATCTGCATCAAGCTCCTTGCAGTAGTGCTGAGCATATTTGTATTGGGAGTAAAAGTACCAGATAAGAGTGGCAAGTTGTCATAGTCCTGCTTCAGAGCCTGCATCCATTTTTTTAGGTAATCTTTCAGCCTGCAGAAAAAAAGAACATCGGTTTTTAAAGCTACAAAATGTGTAGTTTGTAGTATAATTTCTGTAGTGTGCTGTTGCCAAAATCCTGTGTGTTTGCTGCTCTTCTGGGGAATTCTTATTTTCTTTTTTTTTGCCCTTCATTCCTCATAAGCAAGCATTCAGCCTCTGCGCTGGGAAAAGAAGTGGATGTGTAGAACAGTGGTGTAGGGGAAGAGTATAAGAATATATAATTAAAGAGGAAAAACTTGAAAGATTTGTGTTGTGAACTGCAGCCATGGCATACTGTCCTGCCTGGGGAGTAACAGTTGGAGGCTGATTTGGAAAGCAGTGGATCTTTGAATACAGGGAAGTAATATATCCTTGTGCTTTAGATGTGACTGGCTACAATGATGTACACCAACTTTTGGTACCTGGGCTATAAACTTCCTTAGTGTGAAGATTCAAGAGTCTAAAATGTGGGAGGGATGCTTTGCAGCATGGATGCTTTGCAGCAAGGACTTTTGTGAAGTGCTGCCTCTTGCTTGTGAACAGAGCACACAGCTGGTTAGGGTTTAATCAGACTCCTGTGCCGTTGAGCTGCTGTACTGAATATTGGAAATGTTTGTTGTGATTATCTGTAAGGCAATAAAATATTTTAAGAGTTCTTCCACTGTATCCATAATTAACTGAACCTATTTAAGCAGTTGGAGAAGTGGATAATTTTAGAAGCATCTCAGTTTGAGAGCTGGAAAGGGTTCCTGTTTTTAATCAGCTATTGGAGGCACAAGGATGGTTCTGATAGATTTGTGCTACAGTGCTAGTAGTAATTTGCATCACCCCACTCCTGCAGGCTGATGGGCTGCATTTCACTCTGTGCCTTCCAGAAAGGCTGAAGAAGGGTAAGAAAGCTCACCATGCACTTTTGCTACAGCAGCGTGTTTCCCAAAGGGGGGAACTCATCCAAGTGCTGCAGTTGTGCATTGTCGTGTTGACTAGTCCAATTATTATGTTTTCATTGCTGCTGATTTAATACTACATTTGAGTGAGTATTGGTGTTGATTGTGCTGAACCAAGGAATAATCAAATGAAATGGGTCTGAGGATATCTGCGGTCCATAAGTGATCTTCCTCCTACACTGCTCTGCGAAGGCAACACCCAAGAAGTCGCATGCCTCTGTAGTCTTTTTGAGTTGGTTCGGTTAGTACGCTAATGAGCACTTGACTGCTCTCTGCTTTATGTTTTAATATTTACTCTCTCTCTCTCCAGTGTTCTCAGTGAAATGTCTTTCTGCCTGATTAGGGCAGACCTGGGACCTTTATGTTTTTTCTTTTTCAGTGCGAGGGTGAAACTACTACATTAACAATGTAGTAGTTAAGAACTCTTAACATTAAAAGTTATTGCTCACTCTTTAAACTCTCATGTTGGAAGTGGGGTTAAAATAGGGATCTCTTTGTCCTTTTTCTGTGGCCTCCAAGCAAACAGTCAGGTGTCGGTTCCTGCAGCCCTCTTGAAGGAAGTCGAGTTGGTCACACTCCCAAGGATGCAAGCATAGGTGCATGGTGCTGAATGCAAAGGCCTCTGCTTTCCAGAACAGCTGGAATAAAAAACATCCTGAAGGGAGGAGTTCATCCCATACGTGCCCAAAAAAATGTCTTCCAAAAGGAATTTGTGCACCTTGGATCTATTCCTCCTGTAAGCATCTGATTCAGGCAGGCTGCTTTTTGGAGCATTGGGAAAACTTGGCATTGCACCTGCAGAATCCTCTGCTCAGATCCGATCTTTTTCAAGCCAAGATTTTCTTGATGATATTTTTTAGGGGCATGTCATAGATGGAACCAGTAGGCTTGAGCTTTTGATGTTTTCTGGACTCAATGTCGTTCTTCCCATAAGTACTGTCCATGTTCTGAGTACCAAAAGAAAAGAAAAAAAAAAAATCACCTTGAGATGCCTTTTTCCCCCTAAAGTTGGAGCACATCTGTGCAGCAAGATACTATGGTGAGAAAAGCAGGGGTATTGATATTTAACTTTAAAGCTGTTGTTTAAAAGTTGATGTTCTGAGTTGCTTTTAAAATTTTTTTCTCTCAATTCTTATGTGTAAAGATAACTGCTAAAGAACTAAAATAAATGTGAGTCTCTAGTATATGAGGACTCTCTTCTGTCCCAGGCTGGGACTGTGTACTGTACCTGCTCCACAGTTCAAAACACTTCATATTTCATCATTCTTGGGAAGAAAAGTGACTGATCCCTGCTTGCATATCCATATGCGTGTGGAAATGCCCTCCATGTTTTTCATACTTTCCCAATGTCCTGTTCTTGATGACCTTAGCGGGTGTGCAGAGTGAAGGGAAGGTTTCTCAAACAACAGAAAATATTATTTACCAGGTAGCCTGTGGGTTGTTTTCTTTGGTGGTGATGGGATATTGTGTCAAAGCATGTGGTACTGATGCAGGTGTTGCAGAGGGGTTGTGAGGAGAAAACTGGATCAGGGTTAGTTAGTTCTGTAGTGACTCATCAAACTGTCGTGCTATTAGGAATATTAAAATCTGTTGGTAAACCTGTCACTTGGCATTTTAAAGCATTATTTTTGTTAGGAAATAGGCTGCACATTCATGAGGTTTTGTGTACAGCAAAGAAATTTGTTAATGTTTGTGCTTACAAAACCTACTGGCAATGTCAGTGTCCGTACAAACATCAGAGGAAGCTGTGAAACAGCAAGCAAAACATTTAATGGTATACACTGCAAATGCCTTTAGCACCAAGTGCTCCTGCCTGGCCTCTGTCTCTGCAGCATCTGTTTCCCAAGCACCACTTGTTTGGTTGACCAGCTGCCCAGAAATAAAGGTCAGTGAGAGATGGGAGCAAATGCTTAAAAAAAAAAAAATAAATAAAAAAATCCAGTGACTAAGGGATTAGTTGGTTTCAGTATCTGAGGTGAAGGAAGATCAGTGAGATGGGAGCAAATGCTTAAAAAAATAAATAAAAAAATCCAGTGACTAAGGGATTAGTTGGTTTCAGTATCTGAGGTGAAGGAAGAGTTTGAGTAATGAAGTAAATGGATTTTTGTAAGCTTTGTTGTGCAAAGTGTCATGTGTATGACCTGGATGGTTGGAGGTATTCAAGTGAAACATCTCAAGGAAATCTTGTGTGGATTTGGTGGTCTAAGGAAGACTCAGAGATGACTTAGAACATGCTCAAAGGAGAAGTTTTGTCTGAAGATAAAATTTATGGTAGTGCTGCAATTGTCCTATCTATCTAACAGAGGAAGACAGAGGGAGAAGGAAAAAAATCTGTCTTACTGTCAGAAGTGGGTTTTACTAATTTTTAGCAATGAAAAACACTTTGAAAGGGTAAAAATTCTTTTGTTTCCATTATGCAAAAAAGGAGACATCACTCTAACTGTGAGGATTTGGGGTATATTTTTTTTAGAAAAATATTTAGTTTGTATAAAGCTTACTTTTTTCCTACTCATCAGTACATTCCCTGTTTGAATGTGCATGTGGTAGAAATTTACTCTTTTATCTTGATCTACTGGCATGGAATAAGTATTGCTGCTTTCCCTTTCTCGAGAACTAGACATAATCTTTCAAAACAATGTGAGAGTATAGCTAATGAAAAGCTGTGCTGTTAGAAAACTCAGAGGAACATTTGTTTTGGAGGTAAAGAGTTTGAGATAGTTTTCTGCATGCCACTCGATTTTCAATAATGCTGTGATCCAGCGCTGGGGCAGTCAGTGTCTCTTGAGTTATTGGACAAACATGAAATAAGACTGGAGAAAAGTCAACATCTATATTATAAATTGCAGAGATGTTGTGGTGATAGGTGTTTCTTCCTTTAGTACGGGACAGGTATGTGATGGGTAGTTCAGTACCATGCATATTTTCTTATCTCTTCTCCAAGGAGTCTTAGTTAAAAAATGGTTTTACTAAAAAGATAATAGGGAAGTGGAAAACAAAGCAATGAAACAACACACTTCATACCGCTGTGCAAATACAGCTATTCGAGCTATTTTGTCCCTTGACTCAAGACTTCTTGGGAAGCAGTGGGGGAAGATAGCACCACGTCTATAATACGTGATGTAATTGAAGTTATGAAAGGTATTGGTTTGTGCTGCTGCATTCCAGTACACTTGCTAAAAGACATCATCTGCTTGATTGAAAGCTGCAAATTGTATTTGGGAGGGCATGGATGGAACAGCGTGCTGTTGCTAAGCTACCAGAATTTTTATGACCTGCTCTTTATTTGCTTCACAAAATTGAGCAAATATTTTAATAATCTGTATGTCAAAATCCACTGTGGAATTCAGAAATCTGGTGACCTTGCCTGAAAATAAGTTTGGTGGCTTTTTATGTCAGTGTCTTCAGTTCGGATATGACGCACCTTATTGATGCTGCTTATGCTTTCTATTCAGTTGTGAATGGGAAGGTCTGCATTTGAAAGAAGCTGTTCTTTTGACGTAGCTGTTATCATTGCATCCTCTGCTGGTTTTTAACAAACCCCTGACTTGGACAAGCCTTGGGGGAAAAAACACTTAGTAGTTTTCCGGTTTAAATTGTTGTCTTGCTGGTTAAGTGTTAAGAAACGGCATGACATGGGATGTTTTCTTTCCTCTAAAGGAGACTGGAGAAGAGAGTAAATTTTCTTGGCTTTCTTTAAACTTGTTTTTCTAGGAAAAAGCCTAATACCATCCCAGTTTTTGTAAAAACTTGAGAGAAGCTAAAAGGGCAGAGAAAGCTGGTGTAACTCCTGCTGATTATATTATTGGTGTCTTTAATATACAAACCTAGTCTGTGAATATCAAATATGTTTGCCTTTTCTGGTTCCTGTGGCTTCTAACTGTGATGCAGTTTTATTTTAAAGGATAACATCATTTGTTTTCTCTCCTGGCAGCCTCCAAAGGTAAAATGCTTGACGAGAATCTGGCATCCGAACATTACAGAGACAGGAGAAATCTGCCTAAGGTAGCAACAGCATTCTGTTTATTTAACCTTGGGGGGTTTTTCTGTGTGATAAAACATTGTATATAATTTTTTGTGCCACTGTTTTTTTTCAACAGATTCTACTAAGTTGAGGCACGTGACCCTTAGTAACTTAGAAATCTGCTGAAAGTGTTGTTCTTGCGGTGTGTTAGAGACCATGTAGAGACTGACTCTTCAGGTTCAGACTTAACACTATGTTCTACTTGGGGTAAAAATGTAAACTCCAACCTAAACATGACTTTTTTTGTTTGGTTTTGGTTTTTTTTTCCGTTTGGTTTTCCCCCCCACCATAAATGAATAGTCCTCAGGCCCTGAGAGGGCTTAAGGCTTTACTTATTTAGTGCCTGGATGTGTTAAGTGCTTTGAAAGCCATTGATATTTTGAAAAGGAAGGAAAAAATGTTCCTTAAACTTTGACAGTAACTGTAATATATTTGCCATTTGTTGATTTTAACATTTTAGTATCCACTCGAAGACACATGTGCCAGTTATAAAAAAAAAAAAACAAACAGAGTTGGGGGAGTGTAAATCAAAACGCAAAGCCCAAAAGCTTTACTTTACTGAAGGGAGAGGCTTATGTTGCTGGGTGGTTTTGCTTGGTAGTAAATGTTTCCTCTTCAAAATCAGTCTCTGAAACTTTGTAATTTCAGTGTTGCATCATGAGTACCTGATGGTGAAATTGGCCAGAAACCAAACATAAACAGGAGTGAGAAGCATGATTGTCATTTTTCAAGTTAATGAGGTGTAAAAGAAAAAGCAGATGAAACAGAAGTAATGAATATAAGTGAGATTGAAAGCTGTTCTGAAAATCCGAAGCAGTTGCCACCATGTGTAGCAAATTGACACTTAAAGCTACATTTTTTCCTCTAGATTTAAAAATTTAGTGCTATGTTCACAGTCTTGGTGAAAATGAAGTTTTCCCAGGGCAGTCTGTCACACTTCATAGGCAGGTTGGGCTCATCGGCTGATGACAGCTAATGAACTGGTATTGGTGCTTCTAGCCACAGTGGTCTGCTCCATGCTTCTGAGAAGCTCCTATCGGGAAAGGGTGATGGAAATCAGGCTGAGGAGGCTTTAGTATGTTCCTGGTGCTTGACTGTGCCAGACTGCAGCAGGTTTACAGGCAGCGAGGGCTGATGTCTATAGGCTTTGCCTCACTTGGAGACTGGAGGATTTAAAAGCACTGGAAAAAACATACTAATCCTCTGAGACTACCTGAAAATCTGATCGTCTGCAGTTATTTGGAGCTGTATGCTGGGGATACAAAAAGGTTGTTTTGGTGAATGTATATGGCTGCTTCTAGCTAGGACTTGCATTTTACACAGCTGAGCTTGTCCCTTGACAGTAGGGAGACTGATTTGAGGATCATGTTTCAATTCCACCAGAGTCCTTGTGGCTGAGTGGAGAAAGCTTAGACACTTTGATTCAAATAGTGTAAGTAAAGGAATGAGGGAGCTGCTTGGAACCAGGAAACAAGAAATACTAGACACCAAATGACAGCTAAAAGTGTGAGCTCTGAGTACAGTGCTACATCTTCTGTGGTTAAATAAGGCCTCCTCACATTCTTTAGGATATTTCACACATTCTTGAGGGTTTTTCAGTTTCTTGTTTTTCAATGTTTTTAATTATGAAAGATGGACATACTGTTGGAACATCATAATTCTATTTAAGTAATTTTTTCAACGTCTGCACTGAAACACGTCAGCTTTGTTTGATTGTCAGATACTTTAACATATCAAACCTTTGCAGTGTTTTGCCATTTAGATGGGAAAACTAAAATAACGTGGATTGCTTTATGTCTGTTATAATGGAGAATGCACTCTATATATAGTACCTGCAATCAACTTATACAAGAGTCTTTACATTAAAATAGCTTCAGTTATTTTTAAAAGCAGAAAAAAAATCCTTATCAGTACTTTTCCCCACGGTCTTTTACTAAACATACATACCTCTTGCTATGCTGTGTGTTGGTTTTGATAATCATCCCTGAATTAAAACGTATCAAATGATTAAACTTGTAGTCAAGCGTAAGCGGTTTGGGCAGGAAAAGTGTTGTTTTGCTGTGCTTTATGGATTGCAGTTACTTTGGACCATATTAATTTCGTCAGGACTATGGCTCATCCATTGCACATGTGGATAGAAAACATCATGGTACCTCAAAAGGATATGCTTGCTTACTACATACACCAGTTGACTGCTTTTTTCAATGTGTAATGCATGTCACTGACTATTTGTCTTTTCCCTCCTATTCATGTGATCTCTGCCTGAGGTGTTTTTTTTTTTCCTTGACACAAAAGCTTTTAGAATAGTTTAATCACTCAGGAGTTCCACTGCTTTTCTGCTAGGTGGTGAGGTGGTCAGTGTTGTTGGATATGTCTTTTTTGGCAATAGGTGGTGTTAGGGTTAGGTCGCTTCATGATGCAATATTAAAGGGTGCCGAATGGAGAAGTGTTTGAAGACCAATTTAATTAAATCGTCAAATATAGTTCAGTGTTGCCATTTCTCCAGTTATAAAAGCTGATTAAGTTGACTGCTTGTGTGTGTTCCCAGTCTCCTCAGCTGTGCCAATGTGGAAACAAACAGCTTTTTAGAAAGACTTTCTACACCAATTGCAACACTCCAGTCTATGGCATGGCCTCCAGAATGGTTGCACTGGTGGTGCTGGGTTGAGCAGTGGGAGGTGAGCAAGAGAATAACCTCTGTAATGTGTCTCTGCCAGTGGAGGGTTTCCTGAAGGGGATTTGCAGCTTTTTAATTCAAACTTACTTTGAATGATACTTTCTGTTGGCATAAGAAGGCAAAAATTGTGTTGGAACTGGCATTTTATGTTGATAAATGTATTAATCTGAGATCTTTATATAAAGCATATTTTTTCCTGGACTAATGTCCCTATTACAGTAATTTTTAGTCACTTTAGCTGTAAATCATGTCAGATGGAGTTTCAGAAAGTTTTAAGGTTGCTAGAGCCATGCATTTCCCTGTTCAGTAGAAGTTTTTGCAAGATCTCTCCAGGATGCTGTGTATTTAAAAAGAAAAAATTCCTCAAAGCTTTTCTCCATGCAGGAATTACTCACAGAATGATGAGATGTTTGTGGAAACAAAACTAAGCAGCTGGCTGTACACATCAGTGGCTGTTTTGGTTACTATGGCTTCAAAAATAGTGATTTTACAGTCTTCCCATAGGAACTCGGATATAAGGATTTGAAATCATGTTCTGGGAGGTCTCCCTAGATACAAGTACCAGATGTTAAGGTGCAGTTATCAGTTCCAGTCCCTCTGTGACTGAGGACCTGTTTGGCTTTTCTCAGAGCCTACTACAGCTGAAGACAAAGCAAATGAAAGTAGTGTTTTACTGTCCTTCCCCGTTCCTGGTGAAGTTCCTCGCCTGACAAACCTGACCATCAGGTGTCCTAAAACCCTGTAGAACAGGTGGCTTCTGTGGCCTATCTGGCACCTTGTCAAAGGCAGCTCCTTGAAGCATTGAGCCAGAAAAGCTCTGCTGGTTGTGCCATTTGGGAACTTCCTAGTAGCCCAGCTCCTCCATGGCAGCAGGACCTGTGGATGACAGGTCCTTGAACAGAAGCTGTATGCAGATACTTTTCATCCACTAAACTAGTTCATTATATATTTTGTGTATTTCTGCTCATTTAGGTGTTCGTTATACTGCTTGTGTGTATGATGCTCTGAGAGCAGGTCACTGTTCAGTCCTCCCAACTGTCTGGCAGTTGTAACTAAGTCATCCCCATGGAGAGCATGAGATGCAGTTTCTCTAGACACCCTGTGCTGGGAAATGGTTTTGATTAGGGGCCTAATGGTTATTCCCGATCTGTAGGAAGAAAGTGGATGCTCCTCTGAAAATGAATTATATCAGCAAATGAGAAATATGAGCCAAAGGTACATGTACCTATCTTCATTGCTTTTCTGACAGAGCTCTAGGAGGGGTGTGACTGTATTCTCTAAGTCCTGGCTGCTGATGTCCACAGCTGGAGATATGCTGAGGGAGATCTGAGGCTTTGGGAAGGTGGAAGGGTATTAATGAGGCTTAGCTGATATGCTCAGGCACTTTGAGCTCTATCAGTGGGTATTTTAATGCTTTTGTGTGTGTGTGTTGACTTATTCCTCACTCTTAAGTTCACAGAAGCTATATGAAGAGGTAAAGGTACTGTAATGAAATTTTATGAGGAGCAGATAGAAAGTAAGCTAAAAAGTTATTTGCTCAAAACATGAAAATCTTTGTTTCTTCCTGTTCAGCAGCATTTTTGCTTTTACTTTTGTAGTATGAACAAAAATCACAGCCATGAGATGCTGTTTTTAATGTTCTTGAAATTAGTTTTGAGCTGCACTAGTGGTAATGGCATGTCCTATCTTTTTAAAGGCACAGAAAGGAGATTAGCAGTTAAGATGGAACAGTCTTGTCCAGTATGATCATCCTGTTCCTAGCCTATCTGCAGAGAACAAGGAGTAATGCTACTCATAGTGTATTTCTTTGGATTAAGAACCAGCACATTCAATAAATAACTGTATAGATAGCCTATATAGTCCAGTCATCTGCTGTAATTTAAAAATTAGTTAATACATGTCATCTTGAAAGGTTAATAGTTTAAGACTATTTCACTTTAACCCTGTCATTTCGGTAGTAGAAGCTGCTGGTGGTTATGAATTTTTACGCTTTTCTATTTTGCTGTATGAGTTTTCAGTTTTAGATTGCTTCTTAACAGATGGAGATGTTGATTGTCAAATTATGCTTCAAGGAGTTTTCCAGGCTCTTTCTCATTCAGATTATTATTTTTGAGTTCACAAATGAGAGCTCATTTCTTCATCTCATTTCTCAATTATGCTCTGGTCTCCAATATTTTTGCTTCTCATAACTGC